TGAGGCACGGGCCATTCTCTAACAGCAGCAACCTTTTCAGGATCTGTAGAAATTCCCTCCGCAGAAATTACATGCCCAAGATATTTCACATCCTTTTGAAACAGAACACATTTCTTCGGATTCAATTTTAAATTTGCTTCCTGTAATCGTAAAAACACCTTTTCAAGATTCTTCATCATTTCGGCAAAACTTTTCCCATAAATTATAACATCGTCTAAATAAACCAAGCAAATTTTCGAAATTAAATCTCCCAAAACCTTCTCAATGAGACGTTCGAACGTAGCAGGAGCGTTACATAAACCAAAGGGTATCACCGTAAACTGCCAAAGCCCCTTGCCAACAGAGAAAGCCGTTTTCATTTTGTCTTCCGGACAAATTTTAAGTTGCCAATAACCACTTTTAAGGTCTAAAGTGGAAAACCAAGAATTTCCTGCGAGTTGATCCAGAATATCATCAATTCTGGGGATGGGATATGAATCTTTTATTGTTACTGCGTTGAGCTTCCGAAAGTCCACGCAAAACCTAATTGTGCCATCTTTTTTTTTTACTAAAACCGCTGGAGAGATTCATGGACTTTGAGATTCCTCAATAACTCCCCGAGACTGCATAGTAAACTAGGAAGGAATTTAATGCCGCTATAAAGCTTCTTGATGCAGGATTAACAATATTCTAATATTAACAGAGAGATGCGTCGCACGTCCAATCGGTTTGACAGCTCGGGACCATCTCATCTCTGTTGTTGTTTACACGTTGCCAAGCCGGTCGCTCGTCGTCTTGTCTCGCTCATCTCTCGATCTCGAACCGAACCAGCAATACGCTCCCAAAAGCACGGGCGCAACACTGCCCCCCTTCTCCTTTAATTGTCGTCCCGACAATTATAGGGGGAGCTCCTGAAGACGTTCCTTCCCCCGAGACAGCTTCCTGCTCTCGTCTGAGCTGCTGCTACAGACTAAACGAGCGCTGACTTCCTTCCGGATTAACGATGAACCATGGACACCAATGATTTCTTGCCTTAGTCTAAGCTGTTGCTTTAGACTTTCCAGGCTTCATTTTTTAGTATCCTATTAGGTCACCTCCGAGAAGATCTTGGGATGACGCTTCTGCCTTCTATGTTGCGCCTCCAGTCTTCGGACAAGGAGGGGGTAACTCCCGTGGACCCATCGTTCTCTCACGAGAACACTCCAGGTCCCCACCCCGGCATTCGTCCAATGCCCCACGGGAAAAACCACGGTCAAAAAACCGTGGGGAGGGTGGTCTTCATGCATTTCTTCCAATTCTAAATCTTGACAGAGTCCCTCCGACGAGTCCCACAGTTGACCAAAACCTTCAACAAAAGAAAATAAAAGAGAGTATCTATTTTACTGAATAATCCTAATTTATTCACAAAAATATTTTTTAAATTAGATGC